GGGTGGGGGGTGGCTAAAGGCCAATCAGAGGGCGGTGAGAGGCAAGTGCTGCCTCGCTATTGGTTGTCATGGAGATCAGACATATCTTCATCTCCGCCAGCGGGCCTCCTCGCTGACTTTTATTTCCTGGAAACGGAAGCGATCAATCTTACCAGTTTCTCAATATTTGCACAAAACAAAAACAAAAAAAATCCCCACAATGGATGCTCAATATTTGCTCTGATGTTTGATATCGTGATCATTTCAGAGCAATGCTGACAATTTTGGAGCTTTCTTTTTGCGCATTGTTTTCTCTCACTCTGGTATGTAGGAGTGTCGAGACTCACTTTTACTTGTGATGATTTCTGCAAAACACTTTCTCAAGTCATTCACTTGCAATCTGTGGTTCTACTTTGTGGCGGAAAATAATATATTCATGCGCTAGTTCCTCTCAAAATGTGCTCTATTCTGTGCGAATGATTTTTTTTTTGTGGGGGGGGCGTGGGGGGGGGTTGGTGGGGTGCCCGTCTTTGAATGCAAGGCCTTTATTGTGAGTTTTGAGATATGGCAAATGTGATGGCGGAAGGCACTTTTCTGGATCCTCCCCTCAAGTAATCCTCCGTCTACGTGATCTGCAGATCCGTCCAAGGACATCGCAGCTCAGAGGCCGGAGGTTTTGGGCTTCAAAGGGCCTCCTGCCCACTTCCTCCCATCCGGAATTGCGCTTCCTCCGACGTAGGTTGCGTTTGCCTTCCGCCGCCTCCGCCTCCTGCTGTCCTTCTAGCAGAAGGTGAAGGACACTGAATGAGTGGAGCTCCTGGCGGTGTGATCTCCTTGAGTGTCCTCCCCAGACACCCACACTGGGAGAAGACACCTCTCATAGAAGCATTTGATGTGAAAATTTGCTTTGGATTTACGACGGCATTAGAATGCACATGCTTCACCGTCCTAATGTTGAAAACCCTGCAGTTGAAACACGTCGAAGGCATCGAGTTTGTCTGATTTTAGTGTGATGTGACACACAATCATCCTGAAAACCTGAGAGAATAGATTGTTTAGAATAGGTCTGCGTCGATACTACTTTTTTTGCAGGGGTGGGGTTGAGGGAGACCACAAATACTTAGGAAGCTAAAATTTTCAATTTACACAATGACAGATAATTGTGAACAACTTTTTGAAGCATGGGATGATTTTCTACCGCGGCAGTGTAGTGCCAACTGTTTTATTTTTGCCTTGAGTATCAATGGCCGGTATGTGCAGCCTTTCTGAGTAACCGATACATTGAAATAAGAGCCCAATAGCGATATAGATGGAATAAGAAAAATCAAGTCAATAAGAAAAATTTCCAAGCAATATCTTCTATGCGACCCCAAGCACATCTGTTTATGGAATATGAATGAAGTAGCAAAAGCCATCCATTTTTATCCAACTCAGGGGGCGGCCATTTGGCCACTTGCTGTCGACTGAAAATGACATCACACTTGCTCAAGGCTCAGGTAATGGCTAATCACGGCTAAACAGTTCTCCCAAGTTTGGTCATGTGACATTCATAAGCTGAGCTGTGATTGGTCGTTACCTTACCCCTTAGGCACTGTGATGTCATTGTCAGTTGACAGCAAGTGGCAAAATGGCCGCCCCCTGAATTGAATAAAAACTGGTGGATTTTATTGCTTAATTTATACTGTCGACAATTTTCAGTTGACTTCCCCTTTAAAGTTTTGTCGGGTTACTTTTTACTTTTACTTGTGCCTTTCGGTATCATTCTACACGGAGTACTCTTGTACTTGTTTGAAATTTTACTTATTTTACATGGATTTCACTGGCCCCACCTTTGATTGTTGTCCATAGATTTGTCAGAATTTCTGCTACATTTCTTGCACTGCATCAAATTAGTCTGGCTGAGGTACCGAATGACGTGTCTTTTGGGTGTATATAACAGCATCTCATTCTCTAAAGGCACATTACACGTTTTGAAATCTGTTATGGGCTGCTCCAAAAATAAAGTCCATATTATTCCATTGTATGTATTTTTGAAAATCTGTTTAGTAAACCCAGAAATCCCACTCCACCCCC